GAGTAATTGTTGGGATGCCACGGAGGAAAACTCCGTGTTGCCTAGACCACGGCCTTGCCCAACACAAGTTATAAATTCGGGCACCGCCGGGAATCGAATTATTATTAATATCCTCTACAACAAATATATTATGGCGTTGTGAAGCATTCTATGCATATATTGATGTGATTTCAGTTATTATATTATATAAAATTTCGACCGCTCCCTTTTGATTATGTAGTCTCCTGAGGTCTGTGGACCCCAAGCTGTCTGCCAGTAGCTTAAGGCAGCATCTTGCATTAATTATACCCATTCATCGGACTTCGTTTCTTCTCTCCTTCCACATGGTGGTGAAGTATACTCAGTGGAATCTGTTCTTGTGTATAATACAGACTGATCAACTCTACTGTGCAGTTGGAGACAGCAAGAGTGTGGCTGGAGGAAGTACCGACCGATTCGAGCACACTAAAAAGAAATTATCGTGGTATTTCTGCCGATTTATAATGCCTTCAAGGTTAATTATAACGGGATAAAACCCAAGGAAACATCTGAGTCTCTGTCTCTTTCTACGAGTGGAGAGGATGCTCGGAAGAGTTTGTGTTCTGCAGAAGATTACTGACCCCCACAGTCTCAAAAGCGTTTCGTATTATCGTTGAAGAGGAGACGGAATTTTGTTTATCTTCATGGAACATGACTTCGTCTCAATACGTTGAGGTTAATTACAAGTGCATTATTCGTGGTGATAAACTGATACTCTTCGCCAAATATTATGTAATTCAGCAAATTAAAAAGTATATGGGCGGGGCATAGGAAAGTTTAGAGATGTGTGAAAATTTTTTGTTGGGAAGTCTACGGAAAGAAGGCGATTAGTAATATCTGGGCGTAGATGAGAAGATGTTAAAACTGAACGTATGGGAAGATGTCTGTCTTCTGGGTTTATAGCGCAGTGTAGTCTGGTAGGAGTTTTACTGACGTTTCAGAGATCCTTCCTGCCTCCATCATCAGGGCGATGAGTCGCAAGGATCTCTGAAACTTCTACCAGACTACACGGCGCAATAAACCCAGAAGACGGACATCTTCAATCTCACCGTCGTGAAAACTTCAAATTCTACAAAGTAGTTCTTTGTTTGTTGGCTGATTATTTAGTAGGTCAGTTACTGACTTAGGTGGTTAATCAGTCAGCTAGTGACTTAGTAAGGTAGTGAGTTAACTGAGTAATGTTTGTTCGTCGGATACTTAGTTTGTGGTACTCACTTGTTATTATGCCACGGTGGTCTAGCGGTTAGAACGCTGGCCTTGTAATCCTGGGGGTCTCGGGTTCGAATCCCAGTGGTGCCCGAATTTATAACTTGTGTTGGGCAAGGCCGTGGTCTAGGCAACACGGAGTTTTCCTCCGTGGCATCCCAACAATTACTCCATTCACACACAGAAGAAGGCAATGGCAAACCACTTCTGGATCATCTGCCAAGAACGTATATGAACAGGTCCCAGTCCGAGAAAAGGATGGAAGGATCCTGTTCATATGGACCTGTCGTCAGACAGAACACTAAATAAAATACTCACTTGTTACTGTCAGCCGATAACTTCCTGAATGCGTTCCTACGCGCCGGCCTGTAACTTTGAACCCGTTTCTTAACGCTTCATTACAGTCCAAAGAAGTGGGGCGAGGTGAGATGTTGCCATCTTGATCAACCATCAGCGGGTTATTATATTGTTGCTACTTGTGTATAACAATGAGGTACTACTGAACTCCTACTGTAACTTGAAGAAGCAAATGAATGCGATACATAAGTCAACACCCTTCGAGGTCCACCTTGCGTCTTCATGTGCGTTGGACTGGAGGACTGAGTCACTGGATGTTTAATGGCTATCCGACTGAGGAGTTATCAATCGCCTGACTTACTAAGAAACTTCCTAAACAATAAAGTGATTAACTTAACCTAGTTACAGAATGACAGACGAATTCTTTAAATGACTTATCTGCTATAATCTGATTAACAAGCTAAAAACTCTTATTCTAGATTTCATTACAATGTGGAGTCTTCGCTAAACGCCATCTTACTGCCTTTATCTTCAGAACGGAAACCCTGAAGATGGAGATAGCATGTTTTTTTTCTCTCGATAAATTGAGATGTACCGACGAGTTTACCAGAACGACCACATTAACATTCTCGACGTCTTAGAAAATCAAATGTTACGTAATTCGAAATTATCTATCTAATGACCGAACTAAGTCTTTGTTACAAAATATCCTCTTTGCTGTCAACATTTCTTGAAATTTTCGACAGACATTCCCTGTTTTGATAATACCAATCAGACTGCCTGACAAACAGAGAATGACAATTGGCAATAAACAAAGTTATCTGCTGTTGAAACAGACGGTCCTCAGTTTGTATACAGACTTTAAACTATTTTTTTCCTTTTTCCCTCCAACGTTTCTGGTGGACACATTACAGTCATTTTCGTTTGCTACACGTCACTCTTGCAAGCACTTATAATTCCTCTTCCGTGTTCCCACCTGAATTCATAATGCGTTCTCCATTTCTTACGTCTTGCAGAATGTCTTCTGGGTCTGTGGAGGCGATGAAGTGTGTTAAGTGTCAGATCCGAAGATGGCTGTCTTGTGGGCTGAAGCGCCTTTTGTAGTCTGGTAGATATTTTACCAACGTTTCGTAGATCCTTACTGCTTCCTTCATCAGAGCGATGTTATGTCGGTCGATATATTGATTGTGGTCTTCTTTCTTGTGACGCGTGTATGTGATGACCGACGTTTAGGAGGAACATATCGCTTCCATAGCATTCCTGAAGATGTTGAACTAAGTCTTTGGTTTATGAAGATTTTTATTCCTAATTCTCGTTTGTACTGACTTATTATGAAACATATGTCCACCGATTGGCTCGTCATGCGACATCTTTCGAACAGAATCAAACATGTTCTGAACTGAAACGCAAATTAATGACGCAACGTCGTTCAGTCAATCAGCGAAACCAGCAAAGGTACGCCTTACGTTCTGTTTCGGAGTGCGTCTTTTGAAATGCAATGTTCTTTCGTTATTTTGTTACACGTAAACCATTGCAGTTGATATTCTGGCATAAATAACCAACTGCCTGCGATCAAAACTTTAATTACTTACAACGAAATGTTGCTAACCCCTTCCATTCATTCTCTCTTTTATAATGGATTTATTCCGTGAACTAATGTTCCTTTATCCCGGGGCACATTTCAGTATCAATTATCCCGTCGTCTCAAAGTTCAGAGATTAGCAGCAACTGGTATTATATACACGGACTTTAATTTATGTGGAGTTTTGGGTGCACGAAATCCTCAGTTCATGTCTGCGTCCAGCCATAAACAGTATCATACATTATTGTTACACGTATACAATATATCAGTAAGCATTCATCTCTATCATCGACATCTTTGTGAGTACATGAATCCTCACCAAGGGGTCTCCTTCTCCGCCCGAAGCAGGTATCTTCAGAGGCGGTAGAGAAATGATCTGCCTGCTGCTACAGCAATTTGGGGTTATTTTTCATTATTGTAGAACAATACATGACATCTCGTTGTTGTATTATTCGCGCGGAACAACACAACAGATATGATAGGGTCAGGCCACGCTGTGGGCACCTGGTGCGAGGAAGAACTTTGGCTAATTCTGATAACGTGCACTGCGGTTGTTAAAGAATTCCGTATAATCACCTGCTGAAATTTTATCTGATGATTCTAGCGATTTATTATGTACTCAGAACATTGCTAGAAACATGTTCGCAAAGTTGCTACAAATGACTTGGCTCAGTAAAGTTCTGGGTTCGATTTCCGGAAGGAACCTTTGTATTTTTACCGCCGCGTCTAGGCTGTTTCTTCATATCGTGTCTAATAGGTGCTGGGTACCTCTCAAGGGGTTAAGGCGGCCGGAATATTACACAACTCTCCTCCATGATCGAAGTTAAAAACGCGTGGAGATTCTATCTCAATTACTCTATACGTGTTTGTGATAAGATGCTTCGGACACAAGAACAGCTTTATCCTTTATTCTTTGATTTGCTGTGAGTACATGCGCACATAAGGCAATGCGTTTCCTTACGGCGATCAGTCCCGACTGCAGTACAAACACATTTCCGTCGTTAAGCAAAACTAACCTTCCCAATATACTGACTTAACAGGGCCTGCACATAGTTCGTTGAAAATTTGGTAAGGGTTTGGTAAAACCAATATACTGACTTAACAGGGCCTGCATATAGTTCGGTGAAAATTTCGTAAGGGTTTGGTAATAAGAAAAATATTTTTGCCTGTCGTAATTCACGTAACCAAATCTAGCTCAATGTTACCCTCGTTTTAACGTGACTTCACATAACCTAACTCAACCTAACCTTACCCAACTTAACCTGACCTAATCAAACCAAATATAACCTAACTTAACTTAGCTTAACCGAATTCAACCTAACCTAGCCTAACCTAGCTTAAGCTAATATAACCACACCTAACCTAACCTAACCTATATTATTCTAATTTAACATAACCTAACCTAACCCAACCTAGATTAATATAACCTAACCTAACCTAACCTAGATTAATCTAATTTAACATAAACTAACCTAACCCAACCTAGATTAATATAACCTAACCTAACCTAACCTAGATTAATCTAATTTAACATAACCGAACCCAACCTAGATTAATATAACCTAATCTAACCTAACCTAGATTAATCTAATTTAACCTAACCTATCCTAACCTAGATTAATCTGATTTAACCTAACCTAATCTACCCTGTAAACATAGCGGGATTGTAGGGATTTGTACTGCACTGATTCGGGTTTTACATCGGTTTTTCTAGGGCGAAGGACCTCGTTTGGTACAAGAACAAAACAGCGGGTAGCGTGATATTTAGGCTTTGCTGAGCAGGTGGTAACTGCAAGAGATTGAAATCCGCGTGTGAAAGGAACAGAATAATTTTAATAATTTGTCTAACATCAACTAAAATAAATGCAAAAAAACAGTGGCGTTGTTTGTATTACAGATTCGGCACCGATTCGGTTGTTATGACGAGATCACGGAGGTGGATCGACGCCGTGTACGTCACTGCAACTGGGTTCGATTCTTGCGTGCTGCTTCCACTTACAGTGACGAGGTGAATCTCATCGGTACAAAGGTTAAAGGTAAGAGACGAATGAATATTTGCTCCTTTAGACTATTCTAATCACTGTTTGACCGAAACACGTGCAGATGTTTTATAAAAATGACCCTCTAAAATGTTTGATCACAAACCTGTCTTCGAAAAACCATACTTAAGTGGATATAATTAAAAAATAAAAGAAATGTGACCATACTTAAGTGGATATAATTAAAAATAAAATAAATGTATTTTGATAAGTGAGTGAATTTTAATAAAAATAGTTCCTGCCTACATGCACACTCCTTGTTAATCTTTTCCAAAAATAAGTTGTCTTAAAGTAATTTTACTTAACTTAAATTAACAAGTGTTCTTACCCATCAACCATTTGCCAAGCGATTTCAGTCAAAAGACATTTTATTTTAGACTTTTAAAGCATTATCTTAGCGACTCGGTCAGCACACTTTTGTGTTCATTGATAACCCCCACATGTCAGAGATGTACATGGATGACGGACCGACTTCAGATCGATATATCACGTTTGTATCATGAAAATTGTTAAACCTATTATAATGTTATTCAATCACGTGTAGTGGCACACTAGCCCCGTAATGTACCGTGTCTTGTGTTCTCAGGAGAACCGCTTTATGAAGCCGTGAAGAGTATTCCTGCAAATTCCGAACTTGTCGTGTATTTCCTCCCAGAACGGCACGAGGAAGTCTTGTTTATGCCAGCGGTCCATTATCTTCGAAACTCCCTGTATCGGCGTACCATGGACACAATCCTGGAAGGTAAGACGCAGTTATTGTACGTTGCTTGCTTCTTTTAAGATGGTGTACCAATTGCTGTAAATGCTTTGTCACATCAAATATGTCCTCCAGGTCGGAGGACCTCATAAAGTTGGATATTGAACCGTTGTAAAACACTCACTTGAAAGACCAAGAATAAAAGGGAGGATAATATTAAGATTGATCGCAGGGAAGTAATGTTAGAGTATTGTAGATGGCTTAAAGTGATTTAGCATCATATCCAGTTGCGTAGACGTATTAAACATGCTTAAACATCTAGATTCTGTTACCAGGGAGGTTATTGATCGGATAACAATTAATGTAAGATGGTAAAGTTGCGTCATATTGTGATATAATAAGTATATATTAAATCTTGTCCGTCTAATCACAATAAATTCTTATTAAATATTAAAATATTACAATAATTAACATTTAAAATATTTAAAATATTAAATGATGTTCTTTATCGAATTATATTCGATTTACATTACACCATCATTTTTCATGTTTCACGACATGTTTCAGTTCCTAAATATTTAATAAGAATTTATTGTGATTAGACGGACAAGATTTAATATATAACAATTAATGTGTTTATAGGCTAAAAATTATAAATTAGAGGTGAAACAAAGTTACGGCGTACTGGAAGTATTAAACAAATTTTCATCTGAACTCTTAGGGTACGCCGTTCATACTAAATTTCATCGAAATCTAGTAGTTTCATAGAATAAGCATACGGACAGACACGAGCTCTCCTCACTTTTGCTTGTAGATATGAAATTAAGAAGACGTGGACGTCTTTCGAAGGCGTTTTGTATTCTGAAATAACCCCATAATCTAACAGAAGTTGTATGAACAATGAAAAGCGCTTCTGATTGGTTCAGGCAACAAATAATTACGGTCTCCATGACGACGGAGAAGTGTGAGGTGGTTCCATCACGGCAGCCAGAGGGAAGTTAACGAGGTTCAATTGTTTGTTGTGATTCGTCACTCACGAGACTCCACTGTAGATTGAAATTCTCGTCTCCGGAAAATAAAACAACAATCTCTGACCTATACATTTTTTTTTATCCGGGGTTCTGGAACTTTCCTCATTGGACGAGACACGGATAAATTGTTTGTTTACACATTTTTAATAGCGAAAAAAAAGTGTTGAGGTGCGGTGGGATGTTTATTTATTTATTTTTGTTGATGACTTTGGAGAACCGATGCTTGAACGAATTGCGTCTCGTGAAATCACAGAGTCATGCTTTGTATTTACATAGCATTGGCCCGTACATCCCTGTCATTAACGACGTGCGTTCTGTACGTGGCTGAAGTGTTCACTACCAGTAGCACGTGACATACCGACTGCATCAAGGTCATGATATTATTGTTGTTCCTAGCTTATCACCTCTGTTGCCATGACGATAGACATTATGAACTCATGATATCTTTTCCAACACGTTTGTCCCTCAGGTTCAGAAACCTTGTTGCCCGATGATTAACATTTATTATTTATAGTTTACTTAACGATTATATAGCGTCTGATAAGAGAATAATAGTGAACTGGAAAGGATCTGGAAGGAAAAGGCATTTACTTGGAGAGACTGAGGAAAACAAAATATCTCAGTCGGGGTAGCCGGTCTCCGGGCAGAGAATTGAACCTGGGACCTTCCGAATACGAAGCAGAAGTGATATCATTTAACCACGAAGTTCAGTGATTGATGTTTATTGATGATGAACTGGCTTATGAAATGTTTTAGTATTAAGCTTTTGTTAACAGGCTTATGAACTGTTGAGTCCCAGAAAAGAAATATTATCGTCTGTCTTTCTGAACGGAAGTTAACTGTACAAGAGAGGAATAATATATATAAAGTTGTTAAATGAGTCTTGTGGTGTAACAGATTTTGAATCTTCCTTTTTATTTCTAAAAAATACGACTTTTCCGTGATCTGCTTCTCAACTGTCTATTGAACTAAATTTTCTTTCGTATTGATTGGTCTTTTATGCGTTACTGAAATAGTTTATTGGTTGGTCTTTGTGACCTGTCAAGCAGTTTATGTTTCGCCGAAACGTCGGTATGTTAGGGGCCCAACTCAGACCATCGTCACTGCTGCGAGATCCTTAAAAAAATGTCACAAAGTAGGATTGTAAGCCGGGAACAGGTAAGAAGTTATTTACAAGTGTGGGCAGTGGTTATATTTATGGTACACTTTGTGGTTTACACAATGTAAGCTCACCTATTCTCCAACATACAGGGAATAATATTCTAAACATCCGAAAAGATATTGAATGACGGAGCATGCGCGGAATAACTCACGACATTCCTCGACGTTATAAGACCAAAAACAATAGACTTTAGAATTCCTTGGTCCCAGCGGACATGCGCAATATTTTAAGCCGGTAATGCACATGGGCATTACTGAAATGTTTCGCTTTTAAAATCTTGCCGACGTCGGCTGATTATATCCGTTTTCATGTCCGTCTAGAAACAACGTATCGTTATAAATTCCTTTTAAGTGTCAACCTAACCTAATATCCGATTCTCCTTAGAAGCATCAAGTGGGTTTGCTCAGCGGTAAGGCGTCTGGTCCACGTCCTGAAGGTACCAAGTTTGAATCCCGTTTATTGTGGTTATGAAAACTGAAGTTTTTCTTGGTGTTATTAACGCCCTCTAGGAATACACGAGACCTCGATCACTTCCATATTTGTCTGAATTTATAATTTACAGTCACGTGTCTATCCAATTTGTTTGTTTGTTTGTTTGTCATCAGTCTTTCGACTGGTTTGATGTGGTACTCCATTTTCGTCTATGTTACGCCAATCTCTTCATTTCCACATATTATTTTGCAGCTCACGTCCTCAAAAATCTACGTCACGTATTTCAATCTTTGTCTCCCCCTACAATTCCTCCCTTCAACTGTTCCTTCCATTACCAAATTAACCAATCCCGGGTGCCTCAGAATGTATCCCATCAACCTATTTAACGTTTCAAAAACAGAAACTCTGTTTGAATTGACAAATCTGTCTTTTCATCTTTATTCTGAAATCTTTTTATTTTTCCGCATAATGAAAAATATATCTTTTGTAATTTTGGTTTTTGAAATATTCATTTATGTTGTATTTATGCAAATGAGTTTGCGAGTTTAATCGTTAATCAACATCGTCATTTAAATTATGATATATTGTTTATTACATTATAAATTTCCCTCTCCTTTCACCGTCTTTTTCAGAGGTTATATGTTATACTGAATTAATCCGAGTAATAAATAGTCTCACTTTTACAGCATACAGAGGGTTGATTATTAATGTCTTGTAAAGATGTTTTTTTAAAATGTAGGTCTATCTATAGCCACTGTCATTAAATCCTCCCCTCAGCAGACTTTATAAGCCTTACATACTTGTTTACAACCTACGCAAGGTACACGCTGGACATTTAAGTAATATTTAGGGGTTAATTTATCTGTTCACTCTAATCCAAAGTTATAGGCGGAGCTGTAATGTGTTGGCGTCCAGCTGATTGGAACAGTATTTGTGTGGGTACAATATATATTTGATGAAGTAATTCCAGACGTATCTCAATAAATTTTATAATATCTCTGAAATAATTATTAGAATTGGAACAGTCACGTAGCAATAATTCCGTTTCGTTTGTATTATAAAATATTCAGTACGTACCGCAAAGAGAACACAGTACTTCACCATTACAAAGATCAACTGGTTAACGCTGTTTAAGGAAATAATCGCTGTTTATAATGAGACACGCGCTACGTACATAATATTTAAACAGAGAGACCGTACCGCGAAGAAAACACCACTCTTCACCATTACAAGGATTAAATGGTTAACGCTGTTTAAGGAAATAATCGCTGTTTGTTTTTAAAGTCATACGAAACACGTAAATACAATGTGTGCAAAATGCAAAGTCATTGATTGTCAACAGAATTACAAATAATTAAGCTTAACACTTAAGTAATATCACGACGCTTTTGAATTCGGTGGTAACTAGAGGTTTTGAGTGAAGATTTATCTGGTTAATTCGCTCTTTGGGTTCAGTACCACCATTCCCACAACGCTCAGCAAAACAAAAAAATCATTTTGAAGACTGCAATAAATATTATCTATCCGTGTTTCAGGTGCTCTGAATAGACTTTACTGTCGGTAAGAGTTCAAACAAAATGGCTTCTCAGCAGAGAGACATACGCGTTTTTTTGTGTGTTTTTTTATAGATCGCGGTATAATGTTGGCATACCGTTTTATGTAGTCCCCTCCCGCCGCCCGCCAGAAATGCCCATGGATACATAGTTTTAGCATACATCGCTCTATTGTGCTGTCTTGTGTTGGTCAAGGCCGTGGTCTAGGCAACACGGGGTTTTCCTCCGTGGCATCCCCACAATTACTCCATTCACACACAGAAGAAGGCAATGGCAAACCACTTCTGGATCATCTGCCAAGAACGTATATGAACAGGTCCCAGTCCGAGAAAAGGATGGAAGGATCCTGTTCATATGGACCTGTCGTCAGACAGAACACTAAATAATAATAATAAATTATAGAATATTTCGGTGTCTACCTTCACCGCTGTGATAACCTTTTTGTACTTGATAGTTTTCTGTGGTCTATACCATCATGGTAAGCGTGCGTTTTCTAAAATTAAAGTTACCATTTAATATATGCTCCTGAAATATGCGTGACGAAAGATCTTTAAGAAGTACACAATTTCTTATAAAGGTCTGAACGTAAAATAAAAACATGGCGAACACGCGAACCCGATTAGCTGGTAACTGTTGGTGGTAACAAGTAAAGTAAAACTGTCCCACTACACGCCACGTATGCACTTGGGGGGGGGGAGAGGAGCTATAGCTCCTACTCATTCTTAACCTCAACACTTGATGGGGGTGAGTGATCAGAGTCACGCGTCACTGTTGGAGTCACGGTTACAAAAGATCAAACGCGTTTTGAGAATTAAGATTTATGGTCAAAATTTAATGTCGAGTTTATTGAAATGTGTAACAAAGCAACAAAACCATTTGAAATTATGCTCTTCACTTTGTTTAATATCTAAACAGCGACGCGTTAACACGCAAGCATATATTTTGCTGCATAAATCTACATGCACGTGGGAGGCCACGGATAAACCAACACTTGACTGATATATGCATAGATTTAGCCTGATGATGAAGGCAGCAAGGACCTCTGAAACGGCGATAAACTTCTACCAGACTACGCGGTGCTACATCCCGAAAGACAGCCATCTTGAGACTAAGGTATCTATATTACCTTATGGACATTGAAAATGGATAACAGCGCCTTAGTATCAACGACATCTGAACATCGTCGCTCCATAGACGTTGTGAACGAGGTGTTCGTGGCCTGCGAATATTTTCACGTGATACCGTGGCTCGATTGTGTACGAATGAAAATCTGCATTCGTCTAAAACGCCAGGCGGTAGCTTCAGAAGCCTCGACGGTAGCTGTGAAGAAATTCCTCCCAGCTTGGGTGTGTGTTAGAGCAGGTGGACAAGGTCGGTTCACACTGAACTGAGTGCAGCTACAGAAGCCGACAAGTTACGTCTCCTCTGTTTGAAACGTGGTCTCAACACTTCTGTGGAAACCAACGATCCGTTACTGGATTAACCTACTGCAAAACTGGAACTATTTATGAGCCAGTTGAATCAAATTCGTAACTTAACATTATTATAACACCAATTTTAATATTATCCTCCCGTCTAAGTTTCTGTCTCCAGTGTTACCTTGAGGTTTCACGACCAAAATTTTGTATGTATTTATAAACATACTATGCGTGCTATTCATAATACCCGTCTAATGTTATTTGGTTTGTTTTTATACTGAATTAACCTCTGTTAGCTCCAAATATTTCTTGTCAAATGCCCGTTATATAAAGGAGAGGTGTATCTGTGAGCAAACTTCCAGTCATTTCATTTTGTTCGGGACTGTACATCGCTTTGTTGAATGATAACCTTGTTCTCACATTCTCGTAATACAATGGGCTCATCTGTTTTGATGATAGCTGTCTGAAGGGAAATTGATAGCGGCCAGGGAATTCTGCTCGCGTTTATTGGCTACAGCGTACCAGGTTGTTATGGTTACCAAACTAGTAACAAGGCCGCTTCTTTGAATTCTGAAGGCCCTTCTCAAACTCTCGGTTGCTTGGACGCTCATTGTTTGTGGTCTTTGTCGCTATGCGATGTTTATATACGTTGATTCTTCCAGATTACCAATGTATTTCAGGCCTGTTCAAGACGGGGGAAATTTGTAATATCGCCTAGTGATGTGTATCGCATGAAAGAAGGGAAAAGTGTTTGATATTATGACGTAATAAACATTTTAATGTAGGCTGTCTCTTCGGAAGGAACTGGTTGGGTAAATAAATGAGTGGATAAATTGATAAATGTTCGACGGACTGATCAACTGATTAAATACATAGATTAATAGATTAATTTAATTTAATTACTGCCTTACTATGAACTTGGACGCTTATTAACAAAGTACAGAATTAACAAACAAGTTAAATTTCAGATGATGAATAATGCAATACTGAATCCGGTCTATGTCTGAGGGAGGTACCCGGTTTAAATCTGGATTCGGACATGTAACATATTTTCTATGCAATACTGAATCCGGTCTATGTCTGCGGGAGGTACCCGGTTGAAATCTGGATTCGGACATATAACATATTTTCTTAAGATAGATTTTAATATTATCCTTCCATACACACCTAGGTCTTCCAAGTGATCTCCCTTCAGGCGTTCCAGAAAAAAAAAATTGTACGCATCTCTCATTTCCCCTTGCCACGCCCATGTCATCCTAATTGATTTGATCGCCATGATTATACGTCGTGATAAACACAAATCATGGAAGTGGTCATTATATTGCGTTCTTCATCCGTCTTGGGGTCTAAATATTATCTTCATTACTCTGTTCTGAAAGTTTCTCAGTCTCTGTCCGTTCCTTAACGTGAAAGACCAGATTTTGCCCCCCTTAAAACAACAGATAACATTTTTATATTTAATATTTTGTTTTAATACCCCGAATATAGACTGCCTTAAGAATATAAGGTAGACGTAACTGTAACGTAAAAGCACCCTGGGGACTGCCACGTATTACCTCGTTTTCAGACTCCCCGCTGGACCTCTCGATGTCTCTGCTGTCCCGGGTCTTCATCTCCTCCTCACCTCCCAGCGGTGGCGACACTGATGAGCGCAAGTCAGTATCTGGTGAGTCGCTGTCATCTGCCGCGTCCTCGGCCGGCGATCTCCTGGACACGCTACGTCACGACGCCTGCGCCACCCTGCTCCAGCCCTCGCCCAAATCCCGCCCACCACGGGGCGAGAGGACGCTACTTCCGTGCGAAGTTTGTGGCAAGGCGTTCGACCGACCGTCGTTACTCAAGAGGCACATGCGAACGCACACGTTTGGGAAAATGGTGAAATTATGTTGGGGTACTTGTGGGATAGTGCAGGAATAATAGTGGGATAATGATGAGATAGTGACAGGATAATGATGGCGAAGTATATTAGTAGTGAGGTAAAATAAGTTAGTTAAATTGAGGTGTGGTGAGGTGAGGCTAGGTTATGTTAGGTTACGTTAGGTTATGTTAGGTTAGGTTAGGTTGTGTTGGGTTAGGTTAGTTTAGGTTACTTTAGGTTAGGTTACTTTAGATTAGGTTACGTTAGGTTATGTTAGGTTAGGTTAGGTTGTGTTGGGTTAGGTTAGTTTAGGTTACTTTAGGTTAGGTTATGTTAGGTTAGGTTCCGACATCTGTCCATGTCTCCTCCCTTCTTTCTTCCTTCTTTAATCCATAGTTTCTCTCTCTTTCCCCCCTCTCTCTCCCTGTAACTAACCAACTAACCAGTTAGCCCTGGTCCCTGTCCTGAGCCAGCAAAATCCAATCGCCTGTCTCCCTCTGCGTTCTTCCATTTTATCTGCTGATTCTTCTTTTTTCCTTTTGTTTTATTTCCCGCTTACTTTAATTACATTAATATCATTCACAGTTTAGTTATATTAATAATTCTGTGTCGTCATAAGTTCATTACGTGTTTTGGTGCGAATTGTATACGGGTTTTTGACCATACAATTCCTTAATGTGCGTTGTTCTGTAGCAAGAACAGAAAGACTTCGTTATCTAAAGCAAAGATAAGTTAAATTACCTCAGATACTTTGTTTTGGGTTAACCACAACTTTATATCAAATGAATATTTAATACAGAAAAAGTTTACATATCTGACTTCCTTACGTCATACATTTTCAGAATCTTTAAATGAGGTTCGTATTAATATTCCATTCTGAAGACTGCGTCTCTGTTTCACTGCTTTTAAATTATACTCTGACAGCCCCCACGGTCGGCGAACTTCACAGCCTATAACATATAAATGTTGTGCTCAGGTGAGAAGCCACACGTGTGCCTCGTGTGCAGCAAAGGGTTCTCCACATCGAGTTCTCTCAACACACATCGACGTATCCACAGCGGGGAAAAACCACACCAGTGCCAGGTGTGTGGCAAACGTTTCACTGCCAGCTCCAACCTCTACTATCATCGCATGACACACATAAAGGTAAGGATCAAGGAATCAATGCTTATAAAGTTTTTATTGTGAAACTTACAGCAAAATCTGATTGTTTTACTGGATCGTGCTAAATGGGTGGAAAAAAGTACGTCACGTATTACTACGAAATTTTATTCGGGGATAATTCTTACCATTTCTTTATAAATATAAAATAATAATGAAATAAGAAGTTCTTACAGAATTTTGAAACACATTGACTGTCTTTCATAACACGCAGAGCCTTTGACAACATTGACGATCATATAAAGTCTGAGAAAACTCAGAATTTTGAGGTTAAGTTCGAAGATGTCATGAATACGAAGTAAGTAAGCGTTGAGTTGTTTGGAGACCTGGAAAAGAGAAAGAGATTGCAGGTCCTCAGTGGAACATCGGCCCCACCTCGAAACTTTCTCAAATTGTTATCACGTACCGAGAAATCGTGCCTCACTACATAACATTTTGAAGCAAGTTTAACCATTTGTGCACTAAATCAAAAGAAGTTTTAGGCGTAACAGACATATAAATTGGAGGGTTTGAGACCACGCGAACAGAACTACGATTTATGCATCTTGTGACTTCATAATGCATGATCAAGACCAATTAGAGTCACTTCTATAACCCCACGCGAAAACAACGTAAAATATTTTTTCGTGACTTTTAAAGGTTAATTTGTAATTTGTGGCAACTTCATGCCGAGCGTGTCTGCTTGTTACTTTGGAAGTCAGCCTGAACTTCCTTTAAACCCACCCACTCTCTCAATTTTTCATCTGCGTAATATTTAATAATCCAGCCCGTACCGCGAAGAAAACACAACACTTCACCATTACAAAAGATCAACTGGCTAACGCTGTTTAAGGAAATAATCGCTGTTTATAATGAGACACGCACTGCGTACATAATATTTAAACAGAGAGTCCGTACCGCGAAGAAAACACAACACTTCACCATTACAAAAGATCAACTGGCTAACGCTGTTTAAGGAAATAATCGCTGTTTATAATGAGACACGCACTGCGTACATAATATTTAAACAGAGAGTCCGTACCGCGAAGAAAACACAACACTTCACCATTACAAAAGATCAACTGGCTAACGCTGTTTAAGGAAATAATCGCTGTTTATAATGAGACACGCACTGCGTACATAATATTTAAGAATTCAGCCCGTACCGCGAAGTAAACACAACTCTTCACCATTACAGGGATCAACTGGTTAACGCTGTTTAAAGAAATAATCGCTATATGAAAGACGTGAATGCACTCTATGGGTAAAATGAATAGTTAGTGAATATTTAAGTATGTGGCACATATACTTACCACCGTTTTTAACAGGGGGGGAAACCGCTATCGAGGTTTAACAATCAAACCATACCATTCTCGTTGACGCCAAGAAAGCAAACATTGAACTTTCTGTCTTGAGATACGCATTTACGACGCTGGAATTATTAAATAACTTAAGTAGATGCCATGACGTAATTTAAATTTCCTACGAAGTAGTTGACAGGGTTCACAGATTTTAGTAATTATCCCACAAATTTTGAATTAAATATCTCCCTCTATAATTATTTTTTTTAGTATCTGAAGGTGCATTGGCGATCGTAAGTATATTCTATGAATAAATAAGTATCAGGGTTGAAAACTCTCCAGTTCCAGAAGTGTTATTAGTTCTGGGGGTAAGGGTGGATACCAGATGCCTTTTTGTTTCTATTCCCTCTTCACTTTTTTATTAAACTTCATCATCGTTCTTCTTATAATGTTAAGTGGTTATAGTGCATTACAGAGCTCCGAGAAAATAATTAAGGCAGGAGTAGTAAGAAGTGGAATCTAGCTTGTTAAAATTGCTGGCTTCAGGGGGGAAGGTCAGACAGGTTAACAGCAGCAGAGCTCCTACCGGATGGATTCCGAATGAATCACTTGAAACAAAAGACGGCGCTATTAACATAACCAACAAACCGTTTTAAGATACAGTATTTTAGGTGGGGTGGATGTGAGGATGGAAATTAGCTCATCGGTAAAACCAAAATACATCAGGATGAAATGGATGTACAAACGTGTGTTAGCCGTGGTATTTCGGTTAACATTTAAAAACTGAAACAAAGTATTCTGTCTTACTTTCGTGTTTCATTAGAAGCCAGCTTTAGCGAGGAAGAAATATATTGATAATGTATTTTACGTAAACACGATATGAAGGTACAGATTGGATTGAACTGGCTGTGGATGTGACGGTTTTCTTTGAAAAACCATAACATTATAAAACTTCTTAACATAATTAAGCTTAATTAAGATATAAGGTTATTAATATTTGGACAGGTTTCACGTTGTACATTATGGAGCCTGGAGCCCGGATGGTTCTGTCTCTGAAGTTCTGTAGGATGACGTAATTTGAATTAATTCCGGGTGGAGGGCCCAACGTGTGGTCTACAGCCTTTTCACAAGTACAGTAACACACAAAGAATGCATCTGTACAATTAATCAGCGGATAATGAGTGTGGCAATTCTTGGACCAAATTAAAGCACGTTTTTTTACGATAAGTTTATTATGTAATATAACACAGCGTCTGATTTTTTAATTTAAAGAAACTGTACCATCTAAAGCTTGTCTCTGGAACTGAAAATAAATAATACTTAAATCGTGTAGACCTAAAAATACATTTCATAATATGGAACTTCGTAACTTCAACCGTTTACGAAATTGTATCAGGCAAATGAAATCGTGGATTAGACGGACTGGACACGTAGAATATATGACAACGACGAGAAATGAACACGAAACTTTAGTCGCAAAACCTAAGGTCAATATTGAATTATGTCTTGAATAAACAGAGCTTTTGTCTCGTATTGCTCAAATATGGACCCTCGTGAAATGTTGAGTCCCAAAATACATCTATTGCTACTATTTTCTGAAGATAATTTAGCTCTTGGTTTAAATGCGTCATGTTTGTGTTTTATAATTAAAATATATAATAAAATTCAGGTCAATACACAAACTTTATTTAGATGTTAAAATTTAAAATTTAAAATTTGCGCCATTCATCGCTACAACGATGTTACAATAGAGCGCCTTCATTCACTACAATTTTAAATTTTAACATCTAAATAAAGTTTGTGTATTGACCTGAATTTTATTATATATTTTAATAATTTAGCTCCTTGGAGTTAGCGTACTCCATTACTGCAGCTGAGTACACGTTACTATAAGCTGGGAGTCTGACGCCATCCAGAAGAAGGCCTGCCTTCCAGAGGCGGGTCACAGATAACTTGTCTCTCAGAAACAGATGGTACAGCTGTTTGTCGGCAGAGGTCCTCACCTGTAACAGGCAACGCGGAATTTCCCCCCAATTAACCAACCTAATAAGAACGCAATCCTGTTTTGATGTGTCTCTGAGACTTTATGATCGTGTCGTCCATTACGGCATCAGCTGGAGGAGTAGGTTTGGTCGCCGTCGCTACGTAGCAAATTTCTTGTCACGAAATCAGACAACTTTGAATCTGAATAAATGTAATATTTTAAAAACACTAATGACAAATAAATATGTGCGATAATCGTGTTTCTAAATCACCATGGATACTGTAATTAAACGAGAATAATGATTTTTTTTCTTAAGTACAAATCAACAAGAAGGGATAGATATTTTGACGTCAGATTTTTTTTTGTTTCAAAAAAAATATTTTCTATTCGTTGATCGCTTATTGTTTTAAGAATCGATATATATCAAACGGCCAATATATCGACATATTTATTGGCGTAGATTTGTATATTTAACGTGTTTCGTGTTATGCTTGAGGTTTCTAACATAAAATAAAAAATTATTGATTTATTTGGTGTTTTTGAAGACCAATAATATATACATATGTAGCGTGCGATAAAATGGTCTTCGATCACAATATAAAATAAAGAAAACCTAATAATATTTAAGAATTCAGTCCGTACCGCGAAGAAAACACAACTCTTCACCATTACGAAGATCAAATGTTTAACGCTGTTTAATGAAATAATCGCTGTTTATAATGAGACACGCGCTACGTACATAATATTTAAACAGAGAGTCCGTACCGCGAAGAAAACACTACACTTCACCATTACAAAGATTAAATGTTTAACGCTGTTTAATGAAATAATCGCTGTTTATAATGAGACACGCGCTACGTACATAATATTTAAACAGAGAGTCCGTACCGCGAAGAAAACACAACTCTTCACCATTACAAAGATCAAATGTTTAACGCTGTTTAATGAAATAATCGCTGTTTATAATGAGACACGCGCTACGTACATAATATTTAAACAGAGAGTCCGTACCGCGACGAAAACACTACTCTTCACCATTACGAAGATCAAATGTTTAACGCTGTTTAATGAAATAATCGCTGTTTGCACTGAAAATTATACGAAAAACATAAAATGTCGAGAAGATGGAGAGTTATTGAATATTAAATGTATTTATATTATTCGACACTGTAAAACCTCAGCTATTGACAGCGTCGTTAAATAATTCGTAAATAAATTAAGGCGCGTTATGAATTTTAAAAATTTCAAACCAAATAAACTGTTTAGCTCCGTAACGCGTGCTAGATTAGAATCTAAGAGCTCCCGAATGCATGTCGAGAGATTTACCGGTACACCAGCGTCATAGGTGTTGAAATCAAGAACTTCACCTTCAGTTATTTAAAAAGTGCGGAAAGGCTTCAGTTAAGGAACGGAGAGTGACCACTCCAGTTCCTTCGAGGCGCAGATCCCATTATACACTAGGGCCGGTAGCTACTACAATGTTGTGTGTGGCAAATGAAAAACGAAACAAAACACGCTCAGCGCCAACTTATTGTATGGAAGCAATGATGTGCCGGATCGTTTCGGGCTGGCGCCATATTGGCGATTAGACACTCGTCGTGGAGACCGCGAAGGATACCGAAACAATGTAACATCGATATGATTAATCGATAAACATATTTCGGTCTCTGGGTGGCGAATTTAACGAGAAGAAATATGAATTTAAATATTCTTTTTAAAAG